ACCTCCTCTCTCTCTCTCTCTCTCTCTCTCTCTCTCGCACACGCACACTCTATAGAACTGCACAGCCGTGGCACCCCTGCAGTACAGGTCCCCGTTTTCTATGCAAATATTTACTTTTCTTCATGTGAGTTTCGCCATTTGTCATCTTCTTTGACGGAGGTCGCACCAGTGGAGTGACAGCGCACGTTGCAAATTGGTTATCGTCATCGCCGTTGCGCCGCTCCTGTCGAATATAAGAATGCCTTGAGGGTTCTTCAATGGGGCCCGAAATGATTTGCTGTACGTGCGGGACAGCCGACCCACCATAAACTTCCATCTGCACATCAGCAGGGGAAACAGGAACATGAACTGCATTCACGCTCTGACACTCTCTATCAATATTTTCTGGTGTAACTTTCTCCGCTTCAGTATCACTTTCAAAGGTGCTAGTGCTATCTAACGGCACATCATCGCGGAAAGTTTCTGAAGATTGCTCTTTAATTACAGCCTCTGGAGACGGCAAAGATGAAGAACGCGACCCCGAAATTACAGAGGTATCCTTTGATGATTTGGATAAAAACGACGATGACGAAGCTACAATTTCACGTGTTTTGCAGTGAATGGGAATTTCTATCAGTTTGTTGGGGAGTGGTACTTCTCCTGAATTCACAGATGGAGACTCTTGGAATGGCGAGCAAATCTGCGATTTATTCATTGCTTGCCGCCCCAAATCCTTTGCAAGTGGCGCCACCGGGGAGTGTTCGGTATCGCTAGAAGAGGTGGCTCTTTTAACGCAATCATCATGCCACTGCTTCAGCGCCTCCAGCGATGCCAATTTTGGATGTTCCGTCAATGCGTCAATGCTAGTCTCCCTTTGCGTGGGCTGCGAGATTGGAGAGGATCCCCCCACAGAGCTCTCAAACGCACTATCCTGCTCGCCTTGAAGCGTGACAAGGTGTTGCAAAATATTCTCCTTGACCTCAACTGGGGCATCTAGTGGTGTACAAAACACTATCGCCAAAGGCACCAATGGCTCCAGAGTTAAAAGGCCACCACAGCACTCAAAAGCATCATGAGTATTACCCATTATCTCCACAAAATGTTCGTTGACTTCAAAAAAGGCCAAAATAAAGACCCTATTGACTCCATCATACTCATGCGCCTCCCATGTGTTCGTTCCCCTGCAGTTCAATCGATGAAGACCGACACATGCTGGAATCCCAGCATCAAGCATGGACAAGCCCATGGCAATGTCCCCAACGTCTAAAAATGCCAAGCTAGTCATTGCTTCGCTGAGATCACGAGGAGCAAGGCAAGCCATCAGGGAAACGTATCCCACCACTTGCACTTGAGGGGGCAAGTAGCTGTCAAAGTAGTCATCAAACCCAACAGAAAACTCTGGAAGTTCACCAAGAATCCGACTAAGCAACCAACCAGCCACGCGCATGGTGTCTTTGGAACGCAATAGACGCTGTCTATGTTCAGCACTAGGTGCAGGAGACATGGAAACATTTTTCCGAGGAAATGCGTCATGGTCTAGAAGCAAAGAAACTGAGCGAGGACCCTGCATTAACCCTTCAACCACAGTTTCTTCGCCGTCACTTCGAAACCCCTTACCGTAATGATGAATTTCTTGTTGTTGATTTTGCTGTCTTCCCACAATTTTTCTCAACATCATTAACTCCGCCAGCAAATTTTGCTTTTCTCCTGGATGAAACAAACTCATATCTTCACTTGGCCTCCTTGGAGCATTTTTGGTATTAATGCGTTTTAGACGCTGCGTATACCGCATAGTGCTCATCGTTTCGTGGTAAAACGCCGTATTTGGATGAACACACGCAAGAAATACTGTCATGGAGGCACCAGAAAGATATTGTTGAAGGAGTACAGTCAATGTCGTGTCACGAAAGTTTACGTACGACGTTGTACCATCTGAATTCAATCTTGCTGTGCTAAGGGCCTCTAACACCGTACTAAGACGCGAAAGAGACTTATTGATGGCAATACTTTCTTTATTTAATTGTGGCGAATAGGTAGTCTGTCTCTCACTGCCCGCTAAGTCTACTAAACAAAGGCGCATGCCCCTGCTCTTAATAATGAATATGGCATGGCTACGGCTACTACGTGCATTTCGCTCAGTTGGCGCGGTTCGCCGTGTCTGCATCCCAAATTCAGAGACCGCATTCCATTCCTCCATTGAGGATAGACAACAAGATGTCAAGTTTTCCACCACTATTACCGTTCCGCTAGGACCTGAACGACGTCGAATTCGGCGTCGTTCACCCTCGGCCAGAAGGTCATGTACACTTTCTCCGTATACTTCTAGCATGGCAACCTCCGCTGCGCCGTAGGTATCAAGTACCGCCTTGGCAGAGAGCGTCAACAGTCCCGGCTCCTTGCCTGTCCCAGCTATAGAGTGGGTTTTACCGCTATTGGTATGCCCATAGGCCAAAAAACATGAGGTATCTGGCTCATCAGCAGAAGAAATAATGCGTCCGAGTACGAGTCTACGAAAGAGCTCGTCGTTGCCGCAATCCTCTAGAATAATTTGATCGACGGGAAAGCCTCGAGGGGCGCTGCCCGCATGTGTTCCTGATAGATCCGCCACCGTCAAATTATTTTTACTCACATCGTCGACACCGACGCATGAGAGTCCACCTTCGCCTGGACGAAGACGGACTACGACACGAATTCGTCGTCCCATCCAGAAGTCTCTCTTCTTACTGGGGTATACCTTGCCAACAAAAAAGACGCCTACGCACACATTCACACACACACACACACACACCAATAAATAAACAGATAACAAAAGCGGAACAAGAGTATTTAAGGTTTTTAAGTTCCTCTAAAGTAGGATTCTACACACATAAATGAATACGCAACTGCGAGCATAGTGCATGCCAGGGAAAAGGGGGGGAGGGAAAGGAAGTGGAGAGACACATGATGAGACGCGCAGTCCATCGCAAAAATAGTCCCCCTGAGTGTGAGTCCAGACGTGTAGGTGGAAGTCAATAAAAGGCAATATTATCAACTTCAGACAGTGGGGGTGGGTGGGCGGGAGGTTGAAAATGAGCAACGCATTGACAGCACACGCAGCCCCCATTCCTTAATGAACGTTCACGTTGGCACGCCGCATCCTGGACAAGCCTCAAAAAAGAAAAAAAACACAGCAGCGACACAGGTGAGCCCACAAATACAGCACATCTTGTGTGACTGTTGCTACACCACAACGACATAGTAAAACACCCCACAGAACACAAGTAACGTTACAACCACAACACAAGCAACGACGACCGACCAGGACGTCTTATCTGAGACAAATCTCCCTCCTTGTCCGGACAGAGCGGAGGACCCTGGTTTTGAAACAATGCCCGTCATTACCTCGTCAAATGTGCGGCGTACAGGTGTCGTTCGTCCAACACGCGACATATCCATACTACGGGATGAGTACGCGGTTGCAAACACCTTCTTTGTGCGCTGAAGATACAAGTCAAACTTTATAAAACAGTAAGGTCGCGTAATCATCTCCACTTGAGATCCATACTGCTGCAGGAACTCCCGAGCTACATCCTCTAAGAAGGCCAACGCAACACTTGCCGGCATAGCCGTGTCGCACATTGTAAGAAAGGAAACACCTGATTCGGAAAGAACGTGAAACATATAAATCTTCCACACAATAGTTAAAAGAGGTGGAACATGCACGGATGGATTACTGTATTCTGCAGCCAACTTTCGGAGAAGCGTTTTTGCTGCTACCTTGCATTGCTCCAGTTCTGTACTAGATGTATCCGTGTCTGCCGCTAATGCCAGCGCATCTCGCTGACGAACAATGAGCGTAAAAAGAAGCATGTACAGACTGTGTGTGTTTGGTTTTCCTCTTCTTCCTCTTTTTGATATGTTTGGTTTGCACTTTACTGGCAGGTATGCTCAAAACTGCTTGCCACTGGGCGCAAATACACAGGGGGTGGAAAAAGACAATAATAACGATGAATGAGTAGCGAGGTTTAGACGTAAGAAAGACGCATACACACACACACACACAAAGAGAGAGGGTCTGCAGGAGGAAAACAAAGCAAATAAAAAAAAAAGGACACAAGTAACGCAACAGGATAAAACAGGTAATTAACTACATATGAATATATATATATATATATATATATATATATATAG